ATTTTACTCTCATTTTCTCTTATAGAGAATTCCAGGTCAAGATTTCTTTTCTAGAGAGTGCTAGGTCAAGATTTTACTCAGTTTCTCTCTAGAGAGTGCTGGTCAAGATTTTACTCCCGTTTTCCTTCCTAGAGAGTGCTAGGTCAAGATTTTACTCTCAGTTTCTCTTATAGAGAATGCCGTGCCAAAATTTTACTTCCGTCTTTTCTAGAGAGTGCCGGGTCTGTATTTCAATATCGGGGTTCTTCCCTAGCGAGCGCCGGGTCAAAGTTTTACGCTCGTTTTCCTTCCCAGAAAGGGATATTTCGAACATTTGTTATGATTGTTTTTCTATTAAGAATGTGTTTATAGAAAGAGGTTTAAGTAGTGGATGTAATTATATATATATGCCTACATCTATTTATATATATGTATAACTTTATATCCATTTCTTTGTATGACTTTTTTGATTATTTGATTTCTTGAGAGTCGGTTTTTGTATATGAATCGGTCTTGTATAAAAAATGCTGTCAGAAGATAATGCTAATATTTTTACTTCGTCGAATAAAAAAAATCTCGTTTAAGGATATTTATTTAACCTTCTCTACGTCTCAGCCAAATATATATTTATAGAGATTTTTTAATACAATGATGTAAAGAAATCAACCGAATATTTCATAAGACGTTGCAAGTTCAATAACCCTGTCATAAAACGATAGTAATGATCATGATGATTATAAATAAAATAGAGACTATTTTTATAAGGATGAAAACCTCATTGATAACGATGTAAATAACAGTAATAGCATTTATGATAATAAGTATGATAACAGTACCGATAATTATGACATTACAAATGATAACATTATCAATATATTAGTACTAACAATTATAGTATTTGTAATGATTACATGAAAAATAAAAGCAACAACAATAGTAGCTATCAAATAACAGTAATAACAGAAATAATGAAAGAGATGATAGAAGTTATGATTAAGATTATGGTAGTGTAATTAAATGTGCATTTATGATAATGATCATGATGATGATGATACAAGGCAATGGTAATTATTTGCATTAGCAATAATGATAACTAATATTAATACTATTACTGCTGTTACTACTACTAATCACAATAATGATGATTTTGATGATAATAATGATGATGATAATGATAACGACAATGACGATGATTATAAAAATGATAATGATAATTATGATAATGTTTTGTTTTGGTGAGACAACTTTTATAGTATTGGTAGAATTTCTAGGAGATAGGATTTTCACGTGTTACAAACATCAGATTTATTTCTATAGTTTCCCATATAATCAAACACAGAAGATGGAAGACAGAAAACTTGTTTTAGGAGTAACTAAAGTAAACTAGATACAATCCTAGTAGGTCAACCATCACAGACTTCTTCAATATATATAATGATAGTTACACAAATAAAGTAGGATATAGTGTTACCATAATACACATATATATACACACAACATGAAAGTCATCCAAATGCATCTTATTGTCCGGCACTAGCTGCTATTACTAAATGTTTGAGAAATCAAATTAAATTAAACCATTGAACAAAAATAACAACAGTAACAGTAATAGTGATAATATTGCTGACAGTGAAAGTGGCAAGTTAACAATAACAATGATATTATCAATGGCAATGATAATGGTAATTGCAATGATAATGAGAATGAGAATAATCTTGATGATAAAAAATATAAGCAACAACTATAACGTTAATAATACTATTGACAATAACAATTATAGTGATGTTGATGAAAGTAATAATGGTGATTATAATAATAATGTTAACAATAGAAATAATCATAATAATAACAATAATGATAAATATAATAATAATAATAATAATAATAATAATAATAATAATAATAAATAATAATAATAATAACAATAATAATAAACAATAATGATAATGATAATAAAGATGATGATTTAATAATAATGATAATTATAACAATAATAAAGATTTATCTTTTACCTAATAATAATAGGATGATTTTATCTTAACAAAAATAATAATGATGATAAAAAAATACAAATAAGAATAATCACAACTGCAACATCAAAAAACAACAACAGCAGCAAAATTGATAATAATAATAATAATATAATAATAAAATAATAATAATAATAATAATAATAATAATAATAATAATAATAATAATAATAGTAATAGTAATAATAATAATGCTAATGCTAATGCTAATGATGATAGTAATGTAGTAGTAATGATAATAATTATAATCACAACAACAAAAATAATAACAATAATGATAATATATAATAATAATAATAATAATGATCATAACTACAGCGCATACCTCCGCCAAGGCAATAAGCTCACTGATGTAATAAAGAAAATATCACATTAAAATCACCTCTTTCTCAAGTACACTGGCGACGTCCGTGTTTCCGTATCTCGTAATGCTACTGAATCCTTTAAAATTTTCTTGTATCCGGATCACCACCAAAATTTAATGGTATTTAAGTTGGGCTAAAACATCTATTTGAGCTATCCTGCTAATCAACGAACAAACAAAATAACCAACATAAAACACAACCTCCTTGGTGGAGTTGATATTAATAATAATAATGATGATAATAATAATGATAAATAATAAATAATAATAATGAATAATAATATAATGATAATAATAATGATGATAATAATAATAATGATAATAATAATAATGATATAATTACAAAAATAATACTATAACAATAATAATAATAATGATAATAATAACAATGATAATAATGAGACGAAGAAGAACAATAAAGATAATAACTATAACAATTATAATAATAGTAATAATAATAATAATAATACCACCACCATTACTACTGCTCACCCCGACCTCTCGAGAACTCATTAACGCACTTTTTCATTCATTCTTTTTCATTCTAAATCACCTAATTCTTAATATCTGTACCTACATATGTTAAGATTTTAAAAGCTTTATACAATGTATTTCTTATCATTATCTTTTTTTATTGATATCTGTCTTCAACACTACATTATTTTTTTCCTCGAAATTCTCCTGAGCCTGGGTTGAGTTGCCAAATACCGATTTTCTGTAACTGAATAGTGTATATATGTTTATGATTTTCAGATTGTACAAAGGCCTTCAGGCTAGTACAGTGGTAACGTGTCGGCCTCTCATCGAGGGGTCGGCGGTTCGCGCCCCGCCCAGGCGCGAGAAGTTGCAATTGTCGCCCGGAGGTTACTGCTGTGGCTGGGCACCACGGTGGGGTAAGGACTAAGCTCTGTCGCGTCAGCACTTGCTGACACACATTGATCGAGTCGACATTAGTCGGCACAGGCCGGGCTCCCCATAGCCCGGCGAGGCTCAGCTTCGCATATCGGACTTATCCTTATCCTTATAGTGTATATATGTTTATGATTTTCAGATTGTACAATTAGTGTTGTGTGAGCTCTGTTGGGGGAGTTTTGCATCCGTCTTGCATTTTTCCTTTTCTTAAAGTCCCTGAGGATGATGATAATAGGGTATGTGGTGTGTGTGTGTGTGTGTGTGTGTGTGTGTGTGTGTGTGTGTGTGTGTGTGTGTGTGTTGTGTGTGTGTGTGTGTGTGTGTGTGTTCTGTGTGTGTGTGTGTGTGTGTGTGTGTTTTCGCTCTTATATAAGGCCAATAATCCGATTACAATTTATATTCTTGCTATATTGTAAGAGATGTTTAGTAACAGCAATGATTACGAGATTCATTAATAATAGGAAAAATAATTTTAATGGTGACATCTATTAAGATTACAATGACAATAATGATTATAACAATAACAAGAATTAATTGTGATGAAAATACGAAAGTCATTATTGAAACCACTGATAATTATAATGAAAATCTTCAACAGTAATACAACACTGCCAATAAAAAAGAAGAAAAAATAGTATTACATGAATCAAAACAACACCCATCAACCACAACAGATCTGAAAAAATATATAAAAGTCACCCCCACCCACCACAGAATAAAAGAATAAGAAAAAAAAAAACGAAAAAATACAATAGTCACCCCACCCCATCCCCTGCCCGCCTTCCACACGCATTCCGCATGACGAAAACTCCACTTAAATGTCTCGCCTTGTGATCTGATCTCGCCTAACATCGCAATCCTATTATAACTTCATGATTAATAATCTCCCATCCCTGTTTAGCTCACCCGATCTGGCCGAAAGTGGCGCTGGGTATTGATATTATCGGTATGACGTTTAATAAACCAATCTCGCATCTTTATTAGGTGCTAAACATCGCCGTTTTCTTTATAGTCCCGCGTTTTCTATGATGGCTCCGGCCCTGGCGTTGATGGCTTTTAAATGATCACTTTTTTATGTTAATTTTTTCCTTGTTTTTTTTTCTTTCTTTCTTCCAGTTCTTTTTCTTTTGTCTTATTTCTTCATTATCTTTGAATTACATTCTCTTTTTTCCTTACCTCTGTACTTCATTCATTCTTTCTCTTTATATTTCATGTTTATCTCTGTTTCATAATATATTACTATAATAATGATAATATTAATTATTGTTATCATTATCCTTGTTCTTACCATCGTCAAAATTATCATTATTGCTATCAATATTATCATTATTACTATTAGTTGTAATAATAATATGATTACTGTTTTTTTTTTTTTTTTTTCTTTTGTAACATTTAATGATAATACGTTCTTTATTATCATCATTATCATCCTTATTGTCAATAATCTGTATAATGATGATAATAACAGTTATAATAATAATACTCCTGATTGTGATGATAAATCGTTTCTTTGCGCAAATTCAG